AAAAAATTAAAAATAGAGCTACCCTATGACCCAGCAATTGCACTGCTGGGTATTTACCCCAAAGACACAGATGTAGTGAAAAGAAGAGCCACATGCACCCCAAAGTTCAGAGCAGCAATGTCCGCAATAGCCAAACTGTGGAAAGAGCCAAGATGCCCTTCAGCAGATGAGTGGATAAAGAAGATGTGGTCCATATATACAATGGAATATTACTCAGCCATCAGAAAGGATGAATACCCAACTTTTACATCAACTTAGATGGGACTGGAGGACATTATGCTAAGTGAAATAAGTCAAGCAGAGAAAGTCATATGGTTTCACTTATTTGTGGAACATCAAGAATAGCATGGAGGACATCGGGAGAAGGAAGGGAAAAATGAAGGGGGGGAGGTCGGAGGGGGAGACGAACCATGAGAGACTGTGGACTCTGAGAAACAAACTGAGGGTTCTAGAGGGGAGGTGGGGTGGGGAATGGGTTAGCCCAGTGATGAGTATTAAGGAGGGCAGGTACTGCATGGAGCACTGGGTGTTATACGAAAACAATGAATCATGGATCACTACATCAAAAACTAATAATGTATTGTATGGTGACTAACATAAAATTAAGTTAAAATAAAATAATAAAATAATCTCCTTTAACTTTTGAGAGTTTAATTATATTGTGTCTCAGTGTAGGTCTCTTTGGATTCCTCTTTTGGAGATCCTATGGGCTCCCTGGATGTAGCTGTCTCTTTCTCTAAGTTAGGATGGTTTTCTGTTATTTTTTCAGATAAGCTTTCTGACCCCTTTCTCTCTCTCTTCTCCTGGGACCCCTATAATGTGAATATTGGTCTGCTTGATGGAGTCTTATAATTCCCTTAAGCTATCTTCACTCTTTTTCATTATTTTTTCTTTTTGCTTCTCTGATTGAATGAATTCTTCCTTTCTGTCTTTGAGTTTGCTGATATTTTCTTCCACTTTATCTAGTCAGCTCTATTGACTTTTTCAACTTAGATATTGTCTTTTTCAGCTTTGATTTCTGTTTGGTACTTTTTAATATTTTCTGTCTCATTGTTGAAATTCTCACTTTGTCACGCATTGGTCTCCTGACTTTGGTAAGCATCTTTTGACCATTATTTTAAATTCTTTATCAGATAAATCACTTATCTCCATTTTATTAGGGTCTGTTTCTGGAGTTTTATCTTGTTGTTTTGTTTAAAACATATTCTTCTGTTTCTTCATTTTTCTTTCCCTCTGTGTTGGTTTCTGCATATTAGATACAACAGCCACCTCTCCCAGTCTTGATAGAGTGGTCTTGTGTAAGAGATGAACCTTATCATTCAGCTCAGCCTTAGCTCTTGGCTGTTGCTCAAACCTTTGTGATTTTCCAAGCCACTTTCTGTGGTTTTAATGGCTTCCAGTGTGTCAAGACCTGTCAGTCTCCCAAAGGGGAGGATCTTAGTCAGCACCTAGATGGAGGCTGATTGGAAGCCAGACCCTTGGTTAACAGCTTTTAAAGTATGCATGCAGACTTCTTTCCAGGAAAGACTGGGAGCTGGACATTTCTGTATGCTCCCTTTGCACTGAGCTTTGGGTAGATAGCCAATTAAGAAGCATTTCTTTGTTACTGTCCCATGGAATCTGGAACTAAAACCCCACTGGCTGCCAGAGCCAGGTGATCAAGGGGTGTATCCCCTGGACAGCAGCCACAAAAGCCAGAATGGTAGGCATGTATACAAGCTCATTCCAGGAATATACCAATGACCTGAGTGGGCCAGAGGGAGAATGTGCAGATGGTGCCCACTGGCTTTCTTCATCTCTGGGGAGGATTGCAGTCTGTCCCTAGATGTGTGCCAAAATAGAAGCCTGACCTTCAAGAAGCAGCTTTTAAAGAATGCAATAGGCTTTTTATAGAGAAAGACTAGGATATGGGTGTTTCTGTCTGCTATCTCTGTACTAGACCTGAGTTTTCCACAGTGAGTCTTCATAAGCCCATTAAAAATTGTTTCAAGCTGGGCCGGTACCACCATGTTCTCTCGGGCAGGCGTCGCTGGGCTCTCGGCCTGCGCCGTGCAGCCACAATGGATCCAAGTTTGAAATATGACAAATTTAAAAGATATTACCAGGCAACCAAAGTCAATCAAAAACATCCAGAAAGTCACCAAGTCTATGAAAGTGGTAGCAGCAGCAAAATATGCCCGAGCTGAGCGGGAGCTGAAACCAGCTCAAGGATATGGGATAGGATCTTTGACTCTGTATGAAAAAGCTCATATTAAGGTGCCTGAAGACAAGAAGAAACACCTCCTTATTGGCGTGTCCTCAGATCGAGGGCTCTGTGGTGCTATTCATTCCTCGGTTGCTAAACAGATGAAAAGTGAGGTGGCCACACTCCACAGCAGCTGGGAAAGAAGTCATGCTTGTTGGAATTGGTGATAAAATCAGGGGTATACTTCATAGGATTCACTCTGACCAGTTTCTGGTGTCCTTCAAAGAAGTGGGAAGAAAACCTCCTACTTTGGGGGTTGCATCCGTCATTGCCCTTGAACTACTAAATTCTGGATATGGATTTGAAGGGTCTATCATCTTTATCAGTTCAGGTCTGTCGTCTCCTACAAGACAGAAGAAACGCCCATCTTTTCCCTTGAAATCGTTGCAAGTGCTGAGAGCATGAGTATCTATGATGATATTGATGCTGACATGCTGCAGAATTACCAAGAATACAGTTTGGCCAACATCATCTACCATTATCTAAAGGAATCCACCACGAGTGAGCAAAGTGCCAGGATGATGGCCATGGACAACGCTAGCAAGAACACTTCCGAGATGATTGACAAACTGACCTTGACATTCAATCGCACCCGCCAGGCTGTCATCACGAAAGAGTTGATTGAAATCATTTCCAGTGCAGCAGCTCTGGATTAATGAAAACCAAGTTTCATCCTCAGACAAGAGATAAAGAAGGAAAATTCAGCCAGTTGATTTTATTTTTAGCTTACTGCTGTCCTTGTCAGAAGAAATTGTTGGTCCATTGTTTAAACTACTAAAGACAGCAAGATGTTTGTAAATTATCTTAAAATAAACAACTTACCGAAAGAAAAAAAAAGAACTGTTTCTTTGTGTTCTATAACCTGGTGGGTCTCATGGATGCAAGCTTCATTGTCTTTCAAAGCTAGGTGTTTTGGGGGCCCATCCCTCATGCAGACATCTTAAAAGTTTGGGCACTAAATGTTGAGTCCAAACTCTTCACTCCTCAAGGAGAAGCTTGGAGTTGTGAACTTCCTTCTGGTTGCTGCATCAGGGATGGGTTTATGATAAAATTGTGTTTCAGCATTTTCTACCCATTTTGATGTGGGTTTTTTTTTCTTATTTACCCAATGTGTGTAGGAGTCACTCAGCTAGTTTCTGGATTTCTTTCAGAAGGAATTGTCCCAGGTGTAGCTGTAGATTTGGTATGTGCATGGGGGGAGGTGATTTTGGGAGATTTCTATGTTGACATCATGGACCAGACCACCAGCATTATTTGTATTAGTCCCAAACTGGAAACCACTCAAATATCTATCAACAGTAGAATGGATGAATAAATTGTGGTAGAGTCACACAATAAAATTCTATACAGCATGAAGGATAAATGATCTACTACTATATAACAACAATGATGAATCTCCTAAATATAATATTAAATGAAAGAATCCAGACACAAAGGAGTACAAGCAAAACTAATCTTTGGTGACAGAAGTCATGATGGTAGTTATCCTTGGGTTAGGGGAAAGACAAGGTGGAAAAGGGGTACAAGGGAGTGTTCTGGGGTGTGGGTAATGATCTATTTATTGGCCTGGATGCTAGTGATATGGATGTGTTCACATCATGAAAATACATCAAGCTTAAGATTTGTGTACTTTTCCGTATACGTACTATACTTCAGTAAAAGATTAATTTACCTTAAGTAAAAAAGAAATCCTTTAAGAAAAAAAGAAAGCCTTTAGCAAAGGCTTTTCAGTGACTTCCCATAGTACTCAGAATAAAACCCAAAATCCTTACCATGGCCTATAAGGCTATACATGATCTGGCCCATGGCTGCCTCCTCCACATTATTCCTTATCATTATTCCCCTTGCTTACTCAGCTCCAGCCACATGGCCTTCTTGCTGTTCTGCAAACATAATAAAAACTCCTTTCCATCCTAATGCTTTGTACTTGCTCTTCCCTTTGCCTGGAACACTCCTCTCAGCTTGTCACATTGTTGGTTTCTTATCATATAGGTAACAACTCAAATGTCACTTCTTCAAAAAAGTCCTCACTCAACATACTCCATCTGAAATAGACTACCCAGTCACTTTTTATCACAGTACATTATTTTTTCTTTCTAACATCTGTAACTAGATATGTATTTATTACTTGTTCATCATTTGTCTTTCTTAATAGAATGTAAACTCCCCAAAGGCTGGGATCGTGTCTGCTATGTTCATCACTGTATCTTTAACACCTGACACCACCTAGCACATAGCAGCTGCTCATGTAAATGTTAGAGTTGAATGAATGAGTGAAGATCACTGAGTATTCTGTCCAGTAGGTCTGTAGCTTGGCTTTTCCCCACAAAGAGAAGCACCTGAGAAGTTCTGAGTCATTCTGCTAAAAAGAAAGCCTTGTTAGTATAACCTCTCTTGCCAACCTCAGCTTAGTGAATAGAAAGCTCAGATCTTTCCCCAGTGCTTCTGTAAAATTTGACCAAGAGAATGTACTTTAGGTAAAACATCATATCCTAAGATGGAAGAAACCAGCTAGAACTTACTTCTATCTCCTACCCCCAGATTCTCCAAAGGGGGGGGGAAAAATACATGGTCAACAGGCAGCAGGGCTCCTCTCTGCAATCCTATATCCCCAAGAGAACATTGACTTATTCTCACCTTATCTCTAGGACAAGTAATGAATATAGACAAAGCCTTATATAAAATTGCTCAATAAGCAATAGGTGTCTTTAACATGTGTTTGAGAATATCTTTTCTTCTCATGATTTCATCTTAGATACAACAACTATGACAGAGCTGTCATCAATACTGTACCTTATGATGTTGTCCATCGTTGGTATACAGCACACCGGACTCTGACAGTAGAGTTGAGGAGACCTGAGAATGAGTTTTGGGTCAAACTAAAGCCTGGCAGGGTGGGTGCCAAGTTCTAAAGATGTCAAGTAAGCTTGTTATACTGAAGCAGTGAATAATGGGTACTTCCTTAATATGTGAGTCACAGTCTTGCAAAGGTGAAAATGAAAAGAATCCTGGGTATTGGCTCTGATCCTGCCACTCACTGAATGACCTGGAAGCAGGTCCCACACCATATGTAGGCATCAGTGACTCAGTGGCTCTATATGTATAATGAGGGGTTGAACTAGATAATCCCTAAGTGTCCTGCCAGCTTTATATGATTTTTTTTTTGCTCTTGATAGCCTCTGAATGAATAATGTCTTCAGCTTAGCATAAAACATAATGAAATAGTTTAACTTTTTAAGAAAGTGTATATTAAAAATTAAACAGAAAAGAAAATGAAGCCAGTTATCTGATTTTCTTTGATAAGAGAATAATTACTCAAGAAACATGAGCTTCTCAAGTACAGGGCCTAATTACCTGCTGTTGCTTTTGTAACTTCCACCCAGCCTACTACAGGGCTATGCACATCCTAATTTCCAAATGTTTGTTTAATCTCAAAAAGAAAGATACCTCATTGAATTTTAACTAGAGAACAACCTAAAGCTTTTCTTTTAAGTGGTCTCTTCTGATTTAGAATTCCTTTGGTCTGCTTTTGTTCTGATGGTGTTTTTTTTTTCTCTCTTTTTGCCCATTCACAGGTCCTATTTATAGACAACTGGCGTGTCCTACATGGCAGGGAATCGTTTACTGGCTACCGCCAACTCTGTGGCTGCTATTTAACAAGGGATGATGTATTAAACACTGCTCGTCTCTTGGGGCTTCAGGCTTAAAATTGACAGCATTAGGATTATGGACACACCTGGCACCCTGGCTACCAGAATTTCATATCAGCAAAGTAATATTGTATCAAAACCTACTTCAAATTGTCTCTTTATCTCATCACACAAAACATAAATTGCAACTAGATCAGTTAGAAAGAAATGCATTTTAGGAACAAAGTCTTTGTAAAGCAGCAGTTTGCAAAATGTTTAGTCTTAAGACACCTTAGCACTCTTAAAAGTCATTGAGGACCCCAAAGTGTTCTTGGATGTGGGTTATATCTATTGATACTAACTGTAATAGATATTAAGACTGAGAAATGTTTAAAATTCAAGAACACAAAATCACACATCCCTCAGTATCAGAGAGATGGCATCATCACATGCCATATAGCTTTTGGAAGAGCCCTCTGTACATTTGTGAGATAAGAATGAAAAAGGTAAATATCATCTTAGTGTCATTATAAAAAATATTATTTAACCCACAGGCCCACTGAAAGGGGCTCAAGAATCCCTCCAGGTGTTTTCAGACCACTCTTTAAGAACCAGTGGGCTGGAGGATACCTTAAGACAGTCCTTTACATAGACCTGTGGATTAAAGAGTTCAGCTGAAGCCATAGATTTATATCTACAGTGTCCTAGAACTACAGATATTGTAGAAATTGCTTGATAGCACAAGCTCAGTGATAAGGTAGTAACTGAATATAAACATTGTTTTATCTTACAAGAAGGGTTATCTCCATCCAAGACATCTCTTGAAGAATTAAACTAGGAAGCCACAATAGCTCCTGTGGAACAGATCCATCCATTCAATAATTGTGTGAGGGATAGTTGCAGAAAGTTTTTAGAGACTTCTGAGGTTCCATATGATAATTCATATATATACACATATACCACAAGAGAGTACAGAGGGTTAGTCTGTAAGACTGTTCAGTGAACTCATCATGACAGATGATGTGCCTCCAAAGAACTGGAAATTACTATCCAACCTTGCATTTTTGCTTTTGATGGAATTTAGGATGCAATCTGTTTCCTCCATTTCTGCTGATCTTTTTTTTCTTTTCTTAAAATATTATACATGTTAATTGCTAAGATTTGCCTCGGTTAAGTATAACGCCTTGTTTCTTTTATTTTTTAGTGGCTCCCTTTATATATGGATGGAGAGACAGAGAGATGGGTATGAGGCTTATTTCATTGAAAGTGAAGCTGTACAATAACTGCATTGACCACTGTAGAATGATGAAAGAGAATCCAGGCTAGGATGTGCAGAAGAGGGAAAAAAAGGCATCATTAGTGGGGATAGAAGTCACAAACTCAGTACTCTGACAGAGAATAGAGTCTAATCTGATGTTCACAAAGAGTCCCTAGTTCACGTTTAGTAGTTTATGCATTATCTTATTGACTCATCCAGTGCTCTAAAATATGTTCTCAAAATATTTCTGCATTTTATTGTACTATTTAGGAATCTTTAGGGGTCTTCATGAAATTTCTTGTCCTTGGTTCAAAGGATTGATAATGAAGCCTAGGTCTTAAAGAACATACCCATTAGCAATCAGAACAGAAGTAACATTTTAACATGCAATCTCTTCTCCCTATTGTTAGGTACTCCTAAAATATGTCACCATTAGTCTTCCTCAGGATATTTATCCTTTTTGAAATTTTGCTTAACTTAGCCTTGAAAATTACATTTTAACTGTGGTCAGCATTGATTTATAACAAGCAATGGACATATTCAGGGTCCTGGAGAGATAAGGATACAGATCAATCTTCTCCCTCACCGAAGGACTTCCTTTACCTTCTGTTTCTGCTGGGACCTTGATTCATTAATTATTTCACCCTCATTTTCCTAAATTTTCAATCCATACTTTTCTATAATGTACTCCCTTCAGAGGAAGAAAGAGGAAAGGGAATTATTTGAGTGCTGATCATGGTGCATTGAAAACTTTCTTTGTAAAATGTTTCTTTTTTTACATCTCTGTCTGGTGTCCCTGAATATATAAGCATGGGTCCACGTCTACCAAGCTCAGTGTTGTGGAGTTACTTTTACCTTTTGCTAAGGTGGGATGGGCTCAGTAGGGTCAGGAGCACAACACCTAACATAGTTTTTTCATAATACAAATTTGTTGGAATAAGAATAAAATAATGAATCCTTTTCAAACAAATTTACCAGATATTACCATGTTCTCTATAAGGATGTCCTTTTGTGTTTGGCAGTTAACCAGCACTGAATTTTGTCTACCTTCATCTAGAGTGACAAACCATTCAAGTGTGTTCAGGACTGAGGGGTTTCCTGGGCTGCAGAACTTAGTGTTAAAACTGGGGAATCCCACATAAACCAGGACTATTGGTCTCCCTACCTTCTGCCTGCTAGCAATGTCTTTTTCTTTAGTGTTCATCAGCGGTTCTTATTTCTGTCCAAGTGCTTGTGAATCACAACCTGTGTAGTCTATGATGAAAAGGAAAAAAGATGTATGAACTGTGGTGTGTTGTGCTGGTTCCCAAAGGAGACCGGCAGCTGCAGCATCATTTGAGCACTTGTTAGAAATGAAAATTCTCAGGCCCCACACCGGACCTACTAAATCAGAAACTGTGGGGGTGGAAGCCAGCAGTTTGTGTTTTAGCAAGCCCTCCAGGGGATTATGGTGCCTGCCAAAGTTTGAGAACCACTGAAGGGAAGAGCCTTGTTGCTAAGCTCTAGGCCCTATTTTGAGCTAGAGTTTCTTCTTCATTTTAAAATGGAGGCCTTGGACAGGGCAACATCTAAAGGTTCTGTCACTGTAATTTTGTTTGACCTCATAGCTTAAGTTTTCTCATATGAGCAGAGTAAGGAAAATACCTACCCCACAGGTTCTTCTAGCAAATTTGTGATTATTAAATAAGATGTTTGCAGCACATAATGATAACCAATAACAATAACTAACTTTCATGGTGCTTTCCATGTGCCAGACACTGTTATAACTGCTTTTAATCCCCACACAACCCTACCCCTATGTTATAAATGAAGAAATAGAGGTAATGAGAGATTAAATGGTTTAGCCAAGGTTACATGGCTAAATAAGTGTCAGAGTTTGGATTAGAATTTCGAAAATCTGGCCACAGAGACAGTGCTTTTAATTAATATGCCATATTCCAAAATAAATGTTAATGCCTTCCCCCTTGTCCTTATTCCAACAATATTTACAGTCTAGCTAACCATTCATAGATAGTAATCATCATCTGCACTCTTAAGTTCCTTCCAATAAAATCCTAAAAGAACCATGAGAATATCTACATGTTTTGCAAACAGTTTATAAATATCCACCAAACCCCCTACTTTTTTAAAAAACAAAGTGTTATTCACATTCTCTAATTCTACTTCTTCCAAAGGTAGAAACTTGATGATAGAATGACAGAAAGAAATCAATCCATTCAGCATCTTTCCTTCTTTCCACACTCTTGCAAAATATGTCAGTTGTTAGGATCAAAACCATATTATAGGACATATTCATATCACTGGCCCAGGAAGCTCTTGGGCATATTAGAGATCCACTCACACAGCCAGCTGGTGGCTTAGTCGTGAAGTCAGGCCATGTCAGTGTCCTTGCCTCCTTAGGCCTACAACTCACCAGAGCCAAAGACCCTGGCAGATATGGTTGTAGTTCTTTTTTTGTTCTTTTCTGTTGTTGTCAGATCTACATTCAGGGGTTGGTGGGTTTGTGGGTAGTTTATCCTACTCTTTGGCTTTAAGCAGTGGGCCTGGCTTTTGTCTTCCATCTTGCTAAGAATACTTTTGGACCACTCAGAGTATAAAGTCTTAGCTTGATTAATGGAATCCAAGCTTCCTTTCTGGAAAAAATCATCAGGCATCTTTTACAATTGTGAAAATCATCTTAAGCCATGTTGGTGTGTATCATATAGTTTCATAGTGGTGTTCTAACCTACTTTTTATGGGTAGATAAGCATGGTAATTTATCCTGTGCATAAGTAAAGATCACAGGGTCAATGCTATGTGAACCTATGAAGTCAGTGAAGGTTTTTCTCTTCTAGCCACACCTTTCTCTATGGTCTATCCTTTGTCCCATCAATGATGGCCACTCCCTCCAGTTCAGGTACTCAGTATCCTCTTACCTTCTGCTTTCTAGATCCCTCTCTGATGCCTTGACTGAGTCAATGTAGTGTCATAGAAAGATCATGGACTTGGACAAAACTGGGCTTGAATTCCATCTTTGCCTCTGACTAGCCTGGTGAATTTGGAGAAGTCACTTTCGTTCCTTGGGCCTCTTTTTCTTCATCTGCAAAATAAGGCTTATAAATGTCATCTACCTGCTAAAGCTGTGATGAAGAATGAAATGAGGTCTTGTGCAGAAAGTGTGTACCACAGTGAGCAGCACACAATAAATACTCAGTAGTGGTTTATTTTTGTCACCAGTGTTATTTGAGCAAATAAGAGGGAACAAGGTGAGTCTGTGTGTTTGATAGAAATCAGCATTCTACTTAGAGGGAAGGAGAAAAGCAATGAGAGTCAGACTTGGAGAAGTATGTGGAAATGCTAGGGGTAAGGGAGAGTAGACAGGTCATGAAATGTACACATATTGGCAGAGCATTCAAGCACAACCTGAGGGTTTATAGATAGGAAGTTGGTTTGAGTAGGTGATGCAGGAGCTGAGAGCTGAAAGGGTTAATGGATCAGAGAGAGAGGTCAGAGGATGGATCAGAGAGCTTGATGAGACAAGAAGAGTCTGGAGTAGTTTAGGGAGAGTGGCTTAATAACAAAGGTGATAGGATGAATGAGGCAGGTAGGAAGATACCTATGCCTGCCGTGATGTATAGTTAAGGTAGAACACATACTTACACATGTAACTTCACCATCTCCCAAAACCCCAGTGAAACTACTATAAAATGATATTTAAAATGATTGGAAGGGCAGGAAAGGAGGCAACAACTAAATTTTGAATGCTGAAAAGCAGATGGATGAATAGTAATTGACTTAGCAGACCCAGAAAGGTCACAAAGAATCTTAAACCCTTAGTGGGAGAAACCAAAAACCAACCTCATTTTTTACCCCCTTTTCCACCCCACCCCACAAGAATCTTCAAAGGCTGAAATATGTAACTCTGGAAGTGGAGGTGGGTAGTGGGCACCAAAATAACGAGGTTTGTTTAAAAACTGTTTAAGAATTTCCAAACCCCCTCCTGCATTTGATACCTGACTAAACTGAGGATCTGGCCTTTCCCTGCCCTGACAGAAATCTGGAGTGTTAGTCCCTGAAATGCAGAGGACTCTGGACTAGGAGCCAAAGGCTGGAATCTCATCTTAAAAACAGAAGAGTTAATTAGAGATATGCATCCTGAAAGCTGTAAATCCCCATTCTTCTCCACCCCAGACTCTAAAATTCTTGCAGCTGAAAGGTTCTTCTGTGAGCCATTTGACCAACTCAAGAGAAAAATATCTGAGGATATTGACAATAAAGGGTCCCCAGAAAGAACCCAGCTGAAATACTCTATGGTGAGTCTCTTTGTATGCTATTGTGAGGGAGACAGGAGGAGGAGGAGACCCATCCAGTTGAGAATATTTATTATTAGAAATACAGGGGAGAGCTAAGATGGCAGCATAGCAAGAGGACCCTAGGCTTCTCTCATCCCTCAAACACAACTAGATATCAAATCATTCTAAATGCCCCAGAAATTAACCTGAAGACTGAGAGAATAAACTACACAATTAAAGGGAGAGAAGACACTACATCAAAGAAGGTAGAAAGTGTGGAGATGTGATTTGGAGGAGAAATAGATCACAGGAGCTGCAAAGGAAAGGGAGCTGTGGTTGCGGAGAAAGGCAAGAGAGAGAGCAGCACACAAGGAGAACACTTCCCCCAAAGCCATTGGCTAGGAAAAGTAGAGGGGCTGATTTTTGTGAGTTCTTCCAACCAGCAGGGTTTAAAGACTGGAGTTTCAAAGGTTGGTGGGCTTTGCTGGGATAGAACCTTGAGGGCACTACCCTACTCCTGAAGAGAAGGCAGGCAAACAACCCAGGGGCAGATGGCATTGAAACAGCCATCTGAGGAATGCCTGGGGCACACGGTGGGGGGGGGGATATTTGCTCTTCTTGGAGAGTGTCCCTGGTCCCTGAGAGGTAGCATTCATTGAGACACATTTCTGGGGACAAAGGAGCCAGCTGGTGCCATTTCCCTCCCCCACCCCTCAGCATAAATGCAGAGCCACCTGCAGAGGGCAGTTTGGCCCCAGCACTGGTTGCCTAGCCTGCTTGCTCCAGGTCTCACACCCCTGCATTCTGGCACAACTACCCTTCTCAGTCAAACCTGCTCAGTCCCAGCATGGTGAGACCCTCCCCTAGAAGACCAGTGCAGGCCCCTCCCACACCATGTCCCCAAAACCTGGAGATTTAAAAGTCAGCAGGCTACGCTGGGCTAGAGCCCAAAGGGCACAGTGATGTTTCTGGAGAGAAGGCAGGCAAACAACCCAGAGGCAGACAGTATGGAAACAGCAATCTGAAAAACACCTGGTTCACATGGTGGGTGATGGTGGGGATTATTCACTCTTCTTGGGGTGCATTCCCTGAGAGCAGTGGGCACAGAGACCCCTTTCTGGGGACAAAGGAGCTGGCTGGTGCCATTGCCTTCCCTCACCCCTCAGCATAAACACAGAACCACCTTTAGTAAATAGCACAGTGCCAACACTGGCTGCCTAACCTGCTTACACCAGGTCCCACACCCCTGTGCTCTGCTGCTGCTGCCCTTCTTGGTCAAGTTTGCCTCAGTCCCAGCCCGGTGGCCCCTTCCCCAAAAGACCAGCAGAAACTCCCACCCACACCATGTCTCCTTACCAGAGAGTTCTGCAAGGCTTCAGTTCTAGTGGAAGTGGTATCAGGTCTCATTTAACAAGCAGACCAGAGCACACCTAGTTAAAACTCACCACATTCTGGTCAGGGTCCAAACACTGCCCACTGCAGGCAAAGGGAAACTCTGCAGACAACTGGCCTTAAGTATAGAGCAGCCAAAACACAGCAGAATGCATGCAGCACACACCAGAGACATTCCCTGAGGTGCCAGGCCCTGGACACTATATGACCTTTTCTTCATAAAACCATTACTCTCAGGAGGAGGAAACATAACAGGCTTATCTAACACAGAGAAGAAGACAGAGACTTAGAAAAAAAAAAAATCCCAGGACAGAGGAATTCATCCCAAGTGAAAAAACAAGATAAGGTCATACCAGAGATCTAAGTGAAACAAAGATAACATGCTTGATGGAGAATTTAAAGCAACAATCATAAGAATACTTGCTGGGCTTAAGTAAAGAATAGAAGACTTCAGGGAGACCCTTTCAACAGAGATAAAAGAGTTAAAAAACAATCAGAAATGAAAAAATGCAATAACTAAGATTTGAAATACACTTGATGCAAAAAACACAAGGATGGAAGAAGCAGAGGAATGAGTAAGTGATATGGAAGATAAAATAATGAAGCTGAAAAAAGAATCATGGAACACAAGAGTAGAATTAGGGAACTCAGCGATTCCATCAAAAAATAACATGCATATTATAGGAGATCCCCAAGAAGGAAAGAAAAAGGGACAGAACATTTATTTGAGGAAATAATAGCTGAAAATTTCCCTGATCTGGGGAAGGAAACAGACATCCAGATCCATGAAGCACAGAGAATTTTGATCAAAATCAACAAAAGCAGGCCAATACCAAGGCATATTGTAGTTAAATTTGGAAAATCTAGTGATAAAAAATTTTAAAAGCAGCAAGACAAAAGACATACTTCACTTATAAGGGAAAATCCATAAGGCTAGCTGGGGATTTCTCAACAGAAACATGGCAAGCCAAGAGGGAGTGGCATGTATATTCAACGTACTGAGTGGGAAAAATCTGCAGCCAGGAAGCCCTATCCAGGAAGGCTATCATTCAGAATAGAAGGAGAAATTAAGAGTTTCCCAGACAAACAAAAACTAAAGGAGTTTGTGACCACTAAACCAGTCCTGCAAGAAATATATAGGGAACTCTTTGAGTGGAAAGGAGAGAGACCAAAAGTGACAAAGACAAGAAAGGATCAGAGAAAATCTCCAGAAACAATGAAAAACAAGTAATAAAATGGCACTAAATACATATCTATCAAAATATGATAACCTCATATCCTAACCTGCTTACACCAGGTCCCACACTCCTGTGCTCTGCTGCTACTGCCCTTCTTGGTCAAATTTGCCTTGAGACCCTCCCCTAGAAGACCTATGGACTAAATGCTACAATCAAAAGACATAGACTAAATGCTCCAATCAAAAGACATAGGGTGTCAGAATGGATTAAAAAAAAACAAGACCCATCTATATGCTGCTAACAAGAGACTCATTTTAGACTGAGAGACATCTGTAGATTGAAAGTGAGGGTGGTGGAGAAATATTTATCATGCAAATGGAGGTCAAAAGAAAGCCAGAGTGGCAGTACTTATATCAGACAAACTGCACTTTAAACCAAAGACTATAACAAGAGATAAGGAAGGGCACTATATCATAATAAAGGGGACAATCCAACAAGAAGATCTAACAATTGTAAATATTTATACACCCAATTTGGAAGCACCCAAATATATAAAACAATAACAAACCTAAAGGAACTCACTGATAATAATACAACAATAATGGGGGCTTTAACATCCCACTTACAGCAATGGACAGATCATCTAAGCAGAAAATCAATAAGGAAAAATAGCTTTGAATGACACACTGGACCAGATGAACTTCACAGATATATTAGGAACATTCCATCCTAAAGCAGCAGAATATGTATTCTTTTCAAGTGCACATGGGACATTCTTCAGAATAGATCACATACTGGGTCATAAACCAGGCATCAATGAATACAAAAAGACCTGAGATCATACCAAGCATATTTTCTGACCATAACACTATGAAATTTAAAGTCACCCACAAGAAAAAATTTGGATAAAACCACAAATTCATGCAGGTTAAACAGTATGCTACTAAGAAATGAATAGGTCAACCAGAAAATAAAAGAAGAAATTTAAAAATACATGGAAATAAATGATAATGAAAACACAACGGCCAAAATATTTGGGATGCAGCAAAAGTGGTCCTTGGAGGGAAGTATATAGCAATACAGGCCTACCTTAAGAAGCAAGAAATTTTTGAGATAACCTAACCATATACCTAAAGGAGCTAGAAAAAGAACAACAAACCAAGCCTAAAGCCAGTAGATGGGAAATAATAAAGATTAGAGAAGAAATAAATGATATAGAAACTAAAAAAGCAATAGAAAAAATCAATGAAGCCAGGAGCTGGCTCTTTGAAAAAATTAATAAAATTGATAATCCCCTAGCCAGAATTATCAAAAAGAAAAGAGAAAGGACCCAAATAAATAAAATCACAAAT